AGGAAACATAAAACAAGAACTTAATGTTACACAAAAAATTATTGCAATGAATTTAGAGTGCATTTTTTGGCTTTAGCCAAAAATTCTTTGGAAAATTTCCTGTCATAACAATTACTTTCCTCATAACATTTAGCAATTAAAATGTTTTCTAGAGTTTTTGGTGAAATTGAAGAACGAAAAATAGTTTTGTTTTTCTTCACAACACTGAAGACTCTCTCGCACTCAGCATAACAGTGTCGAATTACGAGAATAGCACATAAAACTCTTGCTAGTCTATCATATTTTGGTGTTCCATCAGCTCTTTTTATTCTTTTTAAGGTACCAATGAGGACATCAAGTCTATCTTCTCCAGAACTGGCAGAGTCTTCAAACTGTGCAGCAGAAAATTGGTTCTGTAGTTCATCTAAAGCATCATTATGGCATTCATTTTCTTTAGTTGTTAACAAAAATGGAAATTTATCAATAAAAAACGAATCTTTTCAAAAGATGAATTTTCAATTTGTTTCAAATTTGCCACTTCAGCATTTAAAAGAACTTCATTTTGCAAAGGAAACTTCCTTACAATGTAATCACAGGCTGAGGAAAAGTACCTTCTAACACATTGAAAAAATTCTTTTTTCTCATGATCTTTCAAAGAATTTACAAGTTCCCTGGTTTGATTTCCAATTATAAGATCATTGTCATCCTTTTGATTTTCCAAACTATTATAGGCAACACGAATTAACACACTGTTTTTCACAACGGACGGTTTTACAAACTTAGTATAAAGTTCTTTCAAAAGATCATTAAGAATTTAGATAAGCAGGGGAGATTTTGGCGAAGCTGATTGTAGAAGGGTATTTACACTTTCAAAAATCTTAATGGTACTTAACACAAAACTACAATATGCTTTGTTCAAATCCGAAGAAAGAAGATAGAAAATCCTTTCCTCCCGTCTAATAGAAGACTGTTTCTTCTTCCCTTCAACTTCTTTTACAAAGTTGACCTTTGAGGAGTCTTCTAAGCATTTTCTTTTTAAAGGGTTTGATTCTGTGTGTTGGCTTTTCCCTTTTAAAGCATTTTGATTAGAAGCAAAGTTGGTTTTCGGAATCTTATATGCCGACAAATTTGATGGCATTTGTGGTTTCGTTTTGGTCTCTTTGTGGAAATATTTTAGCAATGCATCCCACTGTTCAATAAACCTTCCTAGCGCTCTGCCTAAGGATAACCATCTCGTGCATACATATTTCAGAATTTTTCTCGTTTCATCAGAGCACAGTTCTTGGAAATTCTTTAGGTTTTCTTTCCTTTTTACACTTTTTTCCAGATAGAAAAACACATCAATCAGAAGCTGGTCAATATTTAATGGTAAAGCAGCTGCAGCTTTTTCTGCTGCCAAATTAATTAAGTAGCATGGGCATCCAATAACAATTAATTCATTTTGTTCTTTTTTGAGGAAAGAGGCTACACCCTTTTTTGTCACCCACCATGACATGAGCATTATCTGCACCAAATGAAATGCAGTTTGATATTGGGATGTTAAGTTGTTTCAACGCATTAATTACCAAGGAGGCAATATTTTCCCCCATAGCATCTCCATTTAACAATGGGAGAAGCAAAAGATGAGTTTTCATTTCATTAGAAACATCACAGAAATATGTGACAACGATGGGGTAAAGCTTCCAATCGCTGTCGTTGCTGCCATCGATTGACACCGAAAATGCTGAATTCTGGAGGGCAGCTATCGTTTTACTTTGTGCATCGCAAGCAATTTTGTTCACAATAGAAGATGTTTTCGTACGAGCACAAGCATATTTCTGAGCAATCTTGGAGTCGGGAAACATCCATCTGAAAAGTTGACCGGCGTGATCGGCAGCGCTTAGCGGCACATTGTGTTCGATGAGGAATGCAGTAAACAAACACTCTGCCAAAATGACATCGGCATCCGAATTCGTAGCCGAATTTGAAAAAAAAATCGTCCACTTTCTTTGACGTTGTCGAAGCCGAAGCATTAACTTCATGCTTTTTAGACTTAACATGCTTCAAAATGTCGCTTCTTCCACCATGACTTATTATGAAGTCACACACGCACACGTTGCAAAATGCATAGTTATTTCCTTTGAAGGATTCTTTAATTGTTGGAAATTCGGCTTTGTAGGCAGGCCGGAAATATTGAGAATACGGTTTTTTTGAACTCATTTCGGAACAACGACGTATTAAGAAAATTCGTAGCACGTGCAAACAAACAAACAAAAACAAAAAAAAAAAAAAAAAAAAAGCGACAATCCACGCTTGCCGAGTCCGAGCTGAGTAATTCCCTTGCTGCTGAAGCGAACGCGAAAAAAATAATCTGGCGCCCACAAAGAAAAGAGAGGGAGAAACAAGTTCAGCGCATTAGATTGGCTGGTTAAGCGGCAAGTTTTGAGAAACCGCAAGTTACTGGATTCGAAGTAGTCGGTAGTTGGCGGTAAAACACGATGCAATTGACGAAAATCGCTGAATTGGCGAAAAATTCTAAAATTTAGACAAAAATCACTAAAAACACTTGAAAAAGGAAAAAAAATCGTAAAATATGGATTACGATCGTAAAATCGTAAAGACAAACGCATTTTCGTAAATATTACGAAAAATTCGTAAAAGTTGGCAGATGTGATACAAGGAAATTAATATCTTCGACAGAATAATAGAAAAAGACTCTCCCTTCCTCCACTTCATCCCCTTGTTGAAAACAAGGTGACAATGATAACAAGTTCCTGCTTTTCTTTAGGTTCACCGGTGCAAGTATGTACATGTCATAACAAATGAATAAATAATTTAAAAGTTCAAAAAGAAATTTCCAAAAATCAGCTATTCAATAACTTCATCAAATAGAGAATGTACTTCGTTATACAGAGTTTTTTTATATAAGGAAATTAATATCTTTGACAGAATAATAGAAAAAGACTTTGCTAAATAAAATAATTCACAAAATAGAGTGTTTATTAAATAGAGGTTTGTATGCTCTTACATGAAAATTATTAATAAAAGAATTGACTGAAAAGTTTCTAAATTCTTTCCACATCTCTTTTCCAATATTATATGTGGCACTTCTACATTGGGTTTTGTAGTCATGCATTAATTCTTCTGAGCTTATAATTGGGCATCAATGTCTTCATTGTTTGATCACAGAAAATGAAAACACCTAATATGATTTATCCTGGCAAATAAGGAAGATGTTCTTGAAAACGCAGCAGACACGTGGTTGAATTTTGTGTAAAACTTGAGGTGGTGAGGCACCTCAAATGTTATGGCATTCATATGCTAGTGGAATACTTACCCTTGTTTCAAGATTTCAGTGGTAGAGGCAATTCAAAGGCATAAACATATTAGTGATTGACAAAGCACATTCTTACAGACAATCAAAGCCTTCACACATATTAGATATGATTGCATATATTGCACAAATTGGTAATTCAATCATTTTAAAAATATTATGCTGCCAACTAAGCAAATTTAAAATATGTCATTGAAAATTAAGTAAAATGAAAATTGAGTACAAGTAAAATTATCCTAAAAAGTGCAAAAAGAAATAATGCTCAAATATTATCATACTTAACCTATGCTAGTTTTTAATATTTAAACTGACATATATCTCAGAAATTTTCAAATAAAAATTCCTAACTTTTTTAAATATGTCTTCAAGACTACTTATTAGATGATGTGCAAAAGAGGTTAAAAAAAAAAAAAAAAAAAAAAAAAAAACCCTCTTTTGCAAGAGAGGTATTGAAAAATTTTGAATAAATCAAGGGAAAAATCAAAGATCTCAACTTTATTTACATTCTAAAGTTATAAAAAAGAAAGAATATTTAATTTTAAAAAACTATGTTATGAAATATAACCCAAATTCGGTTGAGCAAAAATTTTGAATGCTTATTCTTAAAAAACTACTAATGCATCATGGCAGTTCTGCATAATTTAAGGTACATAATCACATTATGTGGAGAAAAATCATTCACAAAAGACCTTAATTTGTTTTTGAAACCACTAGTAACAGACACACACTTCCAGTTACAAAACTGTTTTAAGTAATACAAAATTAATGTTTTGATGTACAGAAATTTTTAAAATCATCAAATTTGGAAACAATTACACAATCAAACTTCTTATATAGTCAGTCTTCTAGTTATTATGCTTATATTTAGGCAAAATTTATGTAGATAAAAAATAAAACCCAAGAAGTTTGACTCCTGGAAGACAAAAATTGTATGAGATGTTTAATTTCAGAATTTCGCCTTTTTGACACTATTTTCAACCTCTCTTGAGGAATCAATTAAAAAATTAAATAAAATAATTCAAGCTTGATTTTCTCCTTGAATGCCCTTTAATTCTATTCTTTTGTGATTTACAAGTGTGCAATATTTTTTTAAATTTATAAATGATATACAAAAGAATTTTTATATAAGTAACTTGTAAGTTTTCAAAATCCAAAACTATGTTATTCATATTCTCTTGAAGTTTTATTACTTTAGAATTATAATCCATTAATCATATGAAAAACTTCATTAAAATTAGATATATTTTTAATTTATGCAAATAATGTTACAAGATGGTTATGTGCCACTATGAATTATGAAGAATGTGAACAGAATACAAATTCTGTAAATAAAATCTCCTTTTTGAAATTTATATGGATCAGTACTTTTCATAACAACCTGCATATGTTTATCATTTAATCTGCTCACATCAGAAATACTTTTCTAATCTTTTATTTTTAATTATGTATGGATGCAAACATATAGCTCTTCAATTCGTGTATGTCCGAGTAGATCTCAAACTTTAAAATTAAATATCATGCTCAGTTTTTACCATAGGGGAGTCTCACTTTTTTTTTTAAATAATAATAAGTGTAAAATTTCCTGAAATGCAAATTAATGGATCATATAAAAAGTTAGACTTTATAATTTTCATAAAATTTATTTTTCAAATTCAAAAATACCAAAACATGAATATCTGTGTGATTTAAAACATTTTTGTAAATCGAAGTATTATCTCTATGACCAACAGTTGCAAAAATAAAAATTATCTAAAATTACTTCTGTGGACACAGTGTGTATTCAAAGTTGCACTTTCAAAACATGAAAAACACAAGTTGAATTTAATCGATCTGGCAGTTAAGAATTCCTCCCCTTTTCTGTTAACTGTACTCAAATTCTACTAAAAATAAAATTTTATGTTTTTAAAAAATCAACTTCAGTACAATAAAATACCATAAAACTATGGATCACAGATTAATTTTTATTTAAAATATATATTTTATACATAAATAAATATCTTTAAAATTTTAAGTCTTAAATCTTTTACAACATATTCAGCATAAACTTCAATAAAAACTTTTGTTAAAATATCAAACAGAAATAAAGATAATTTGCTTTGCTTTTATTGCAGGTATAGCTATAGAAATTTAATTATACTTCAGAAGATTTATTTTAAATATTGATATTTTCTAATTTATACAATGCTAAAAACTTCAAAAAAGAGTCAAAAGATTCTCAATCTACATCAGAATACAGTTTCTTCAGAAAGACTATCTGTGTCAATTGTAGCTTCTACTACTGCAGCTGCTTCGGCCATCATTAATTCTTCTTCAAAAGATATTTCTGTACTCTTTTTTTCATGCCAGTCATCAGAAATTTTGCTATCCCAAAACTCATTACTTATACTGTTAGATGCATCATTCAATAGACCTAAAGTTAAATAAAAGCATATTATGCTTCATGCTTGATAAATTTGCACACATTTAGAATATAATCTTTGAAAATAAAAATAATGAATTACAGAAAGGTGAAAGGTAATAATGAAAGTGTAATATTTTCTTGTGTGATATTAAAGGTATACATTCATTTGCATTAAAAGATACAGGTGATAGATAAAAAATATGTGAAATATAAAAAAGATAAATTACTTTAAAAAAATTTATTCTTAAAAAATAAGATGTTTTCTCACCTTGCAGATGTTGCCTTACCATTCTTCCTTAATACAAAAAGCAATGGTGGCATTAAGAAAATTTACATACTTTGAAATACTCAAATACAATTAATAATTTCTCAGACTGTTAAATTTAATTAAATTTAATACAGTTTGCACAGCTTAATGTTATCATGTTTTTCTACGACCATTTGGATAACATAAAATAATTGAAAAACAAATTTTCCTTTAAAATAGCAATGGAATTGAACTGATTTCACATAAATATAACCAGAAACATATGAATAAGTACTTTTACAGCATATTAATTAAGAAAAGGGGAAAATTTGTTTTTGAACTGCTCACGATATCTTTAATGCGAAAGTTCATTTATGAAATGTTCATAATGTTTCGGAAAATTATCTGACCAATGCTATACTCCTAATCTTAATACACTACCCAACACTGAAAATGCAACATCAAGGAGTGGCCAGAAAGTGAACTTGGCAAACAGAGAGAGACAGCTACAAACAATAAATGATCTTTATTTCCAAATGGTGTGCATAATACACAGCAAGAACAGCATTGGCTCAGTAGGTTGTAGGACCATCTTGGACGGCAATACACAAAGCAACAACATATCTAGGTACAGAGTCAACGAGACTACAGATGGTGTCCTGAGGAATAACTCTGCCAACCATTTGTCAGAGTTTGTCTTCTGAACGTGGCAATGGCAGGGTCTGCAAATGGCATCCAATCACATCCTCTATGTGTTCGATTGGTGAGAGATAAGGAGAGAATGTTGGCCAAGGAAGCAGCTGTACTACATCTTGCAGAGCACATTGGCTGATGTGAGTAGTGTGTGTTTGGGAGTTATTCTGCTGATAAAGAGCATTGGCTACTCTCTGAAGGTAGGGGAGTGTCACCGGCCACAGCACATCATCCACATATCATTGGGTAGTCATAGTGCCCTAAATACGATCTACAGGTGACCTGGAATCACACACAGTTGTGCCCCAAACCATTATGTTGCACTGCCATGTGGTAGGGTGTTCCACAATTGCTGCCTGATTGGACCTGTCGCCCCATCGACGCCACACTCGCACGTGGCAGCAATGGAGAAATCATCGGCATTGGAGAAATATTTAAGCAAACAATTTTTAAAAGCGCACTTCTTTAAATATTATGAGCAACAATTAATTCAATTGTTAGAAAATCACAATTTTACTTGAACAAAAAATTTAAATAAGCCTATATATAAGTACTAGCCCTGTGAAAAAACTTTAAGAGCGTTCAAAAATCAAGATGTAACAAAACAGCAACATTAAAAGCATTAAATTAAATTGAAATGAAAGTAGAAGTTTTACAATAGCAAAATATGCCAATAAGCTTCAGAATTAATTTTGCATCTTTATTAAAAAGATGTTTCAATTTTTTAAAATTTTCTTTAATGAAAAACAATAAAAGGAAATACATTCATGCTAACTCACTATTCACATAATTATTGGGCAAATCTGTTATAAAATCATTTTCTAATAAAGTGTTATCACTTGAAGAAGAATCCTTGAAACTAAAATCACTGTAGTTACCTTCATCATTAACTGCTCTAAAGTCTTTCTTAATAGGTGAACCAGAAACCTTCATTTCTGAAAATTGACTACAATCAGAAAAAGAGCAAATCAAGTCATCATCAGTAATACGAATTCCACTGTTTGCATCACCCTCTGTATGCATATCATCCAGGCTCCAATTTGAATTTTCAGATAAAGTATATGCTTCATTAAGATTGCTTAACTGAGTAAAGCAATCAGTTTCAAAAAAATCATCTGGAATACTTAATGTAGCTGAAACAAACTCTGGAAGCATCTTTGCTGAAAAAAAAAAAAAAAAAAAAAAAAAAAAGAAAAGAAGAAGAAGAGAGGTTTCCTTGTCAAATATAAAAATAACACTGCACTTCATTACATTTAAAATACAAAATAATTTATAATATTTAAAATTAACTCAAAAGAACCCTTCCCCAAACAAAATCATTTTGGGTTAATATTACACATTTATTATTACACTTTAATATTAAGCTATACAGTTTTCGCAATGACAACAGCTTCATAAAATAAAAATTCTAATTACCTTTAGATTTAAAATTTTGAGCTCGACATTCTGGATCATGACACTTCTGATAATATAGGTTTTTTTGTATATCCACAATGATCCTAAAACAAAACTTGCATTTTTATTTCAGATTCTTATTATCATCTAAACACTGAAGTATAAGTTATTATAAACATACTCATAATTTTTTTTGGGGGGGATTAACAAAAATGACATTGTGAAAGAAAGGTATAGAGAGTTCTCCTTAATACAGAAAAGGACAGAATTTGATTCCTTTAAAAATAGATTAAATCTAACTTTATCATTTAATTTAGCACTGATTTCAGATGAAAAGACAAAGTGTTTTGACAGATACTCCTAGATGTCCTTTTTTCTTAAGAAAAAAATTATATTGCCAAATTTGAAAATATAAAGACAAAAAATATCAACAGGGGAAAAAAAAAAAAAAAAAAAAAAAAAAAGCACAACAGAATTCTTTTTTTAAATATTTGTGATAACTAAAGGCAGTTTCATGAAGTAGATAAAAGCAGTAAGGTTGATGGCTCACCTCACCTAAGCCTTTGAACCCTACATCGTAGACACTATGTTTAAAATCTTTTAAAACTATTCAAGGTGACTTAGAATAAAGAGCCCTTGGAGAATCGTTATTTGCACTGTGCCATAAATCCACTTTTGTTGACAACTAAAACTCATTTCATTGCTATTTACTGGAAAAAAATTAATTGAGGCAAATTGGTGGGCAAAATACATTTTCTTAACTGCTCTAATAAAGATAATTTTTTCATTAAAAAATTATATGCAATTAAATATTTTTACATTATTTTAGATATAAATCTGATCTTGAACTGTTAAAAATTTTGTTAGTAAATAAATACCAATAGCCACTTCAGAAAAAATAAATTGCTCCTATACATGAACCTATTTAGAATTACAGGTGCACTGTTTCAAATTCCACACATGTGAAAAGTAAAGGTATAACATCCACAGACCACTTAATTAAAGAAAAATGAGAAAATCTGAAGTTTTGTTTTTCTTAAAGCATTTCTTTTCCCTCTTATGATAGCACACTTGCAGCTTAAGTATTTATCAAAAAGATGGCTGAGTCCATTAATCATTTAGCTGTCTCATCAATGAAAATATTACTCAGAATACCACACGAAATAATTAATATTTCATCACCAAAGCAGGAGGGAAACACATGTAAAACTAAGCTTTACATTGATATCAAACCAATTTTTTTTCATTTCAAACTTACACTCAGTCTCCACTAACACCACTATTCAGTGCGGCTTTTCTCGTAAAGAAAAACACCAGAGTAAAATAGTGTTTTTTTTTAATACAGGAATTTATTGATAATAATGAAGTAGATGTATAATCATGACCTCAGATCTATTTAGTTTCTGCATTTCAGAACATCAGAAATGACAAATTGATAAATGTCTATAATATAATTGAAATACAGCAGCTTAAATTATATTCTTCTAACACATCTCTATGTTCATTTCAGGCTGTTGTAACTAAACAAGGAACACAGAAATGGTCATTCTGAAACCTCAGATGTAGATTGGCTCCCACAAAGAGAAAAATATATATATATATATACACAGTCAAAAGTCGTTAATCCGGAATGATCTATGATTCGGACAATCATAACAAGCTACAAACTTTCTGCACATGCATCAACGCATAATGCGCGTAATACCTTTACGCATGCGCATATGCATGTACGCATGCGCATAATACGTTTATGCATGCACGTTTAATGTATAACGGACGGTATAAGCTAAGCTAAAATTATCTATTTTAGTTAATGTTGCAGATTGCGTTGTTCCTTAATCTTCGAATTGGATCCGGCTTATTATTTTTTGCAGACTGTTAGAGCAATTTTATAAAAGTAAGTTAGAACTTTCAATTATGTTGAATAGAATTTCCGATGCTGTATCTACAAAGGGAAAGCATGTTTCAATGTTCATCAAACAAAAAGTGGAATTGCTGCAAAAAATGGATAAAGGCTCCTTTGTTTCTATAACCATTCCGAAATCTGTTTATCAATTTCACACTGTTCTGCGCGGGGGGGGGGGGCACTATCCTTATCTTCAGGGCAGATGTTTTTATTTTATTCAGCTTACAATTCCTTAAAAAATGTAGTATTTCATCTCGATGTACTCCGTCTTTGATATTATTTAAATCAAATTCCTCGTCATTATAAATATCACGAATACAAATCAAATAGTTTACTGGTTGCAATTTTCTAATTTCGACTATGCGTAATGTATGCTTTACGCATGCGTGCATTCAAAGAAATGTTTAATAAAGTAAACAAATAAATATTAAGCTTTTTTTGTAAATTTTGATACCCTTTAGATCATAATTGCTCTTTATTTCATAAATTACGCTTTCATATTTTTAATTTTATAATTTCTGCATGCCATCTTACCAGATTTAAACTGATGATCTATAATCCGGAAAAATCGATAATCCGGAATCGGCGAAGTCCCGACGAGTCCGGATTAATGACTTTTGACTGTAATAATTACCATTTTGAATTTAACAAATATTCTATTTGTATAAAGCAAATATAAATTAAAATTTAATTAAGAAATTGTAAAGAAATAAAAATAAAAAATAATAATTATTATTATTGCTGCAAACTAAACTTACAATATCATTTAAATTCTAAGAGCATATGTAAATTAATTGTACGTATCTAAAGCCATGAAAAAATATATTATTCCAAAAAATTAAATTTATTATTTAATAAATAAAGAATTAAAGACTTTTGACTGTATATATATATATATATATATATATTAGTGAAAGAATTTTTAAACTTTTTTACATTTAAATTTTATTCACATGTAGCACTGTCATATTACTAATCATACTCTCATTTCCTATATAATTTAATTAGAATTATTTGCATTCTTGCAATACATTTCTGGTCACGTGTATATATATATATATATATATATAGTCAAAAGTCATTAATCCGGACTCGTCGGGACTTCGCGATTCCGGATTATAGATCATCAGTTTAAATCTGGTAAAATGGCATGCAGAAATTATAAAATTAAAATAATGAAACCGTAATTTACGAAATAAAGAACAATTATGATCTAAAGGGTATCAAAATTTACAAAAAAAAGCTTAATATTTATTTGTTTACTTTATTAAACATTTTTTTCAATGTAAGTTGTTTAAGTTGCTTCGTTTTTTATGTGATAATACATTCTCTTTAATTCTATAAACAGACATAATTTCTTGTTCAGTTACAAAGTTCCGCTGTTAAAGTCCTATAATTGCTGTGTCGAGAATACCGACTAATTTGTCAATCGAAATTTATTCGTTTTCAATAACCTCTGTCACTTTCTTCGCTATCGGAAGCGAATTATAATGACGAGGCATTTGATTTAAATCATATCAAAGACGGAGTACATCGAGATGAAATACTACATTGAGCAAGCAATTATAAGCCAAATAAAATAAAAACATCTGCCCTTAAGATAAGGATAGTGCTGACAGATCAACTTCCAATTCATTGCACGCCCCCGTGGCGTTAAAGATAAACAAAGTTTAGATAAACAAAGGATATGCCTTTATCCATTTTTTGCAGCAATTCCACTTTTTGTTTAATGGACTCCGAAAGATACTTTCGCTTTGTATATCCTTTACATACTAGTAAATGTATATCGGAAATTCTATTTGACATAATCGAAAGTTCAAGCTTACTAAAATTGCTCTAACAGCCTGCAAAAAATAATAATCCGGATCCAATTCGAAGATTAAGGAACAACGCAATCTGCAACATTAACCAAAATAGATAATTAGATAATTTTAGCTTAGCTTATCCCGTCCGTTATACATTAAACGTGCATTCGTAAACGTATTTTGCGCACGCGCACATGCAAATTCGCAGCTGTAAAGGTCTTACGCGCATGCGTCAACGTTTGTAGCTTTGAGGTCCGAATTAACGACTTTTGACTGTATATATATATAAGTATATACATCATTTTTATTACATGCCACAAGATCTGCTCTTTCAGATGATGCAATTCAATTTCAGAATCTATCTATACTCCTGGATGTGATATCTGTGAATTTAGATAGATTCTAAAACTTAACTGCATTCATATGTATATTCCAGACCGGTACCTTATATTCCAGAACATAAGGCACACTTTTAATACAGAAAATAAGATCGAAATTTACAGGTGTACTTTATACTCCAGATATAAAAATGATAGATTCAAAAATAAGAAAATTATAAGCATGCAAAAATGAAATTTCTACATGCACCTAAATGCTGTTTCTGGCGATTTAGTAGTTTGCAACATTTCAGTTCACAACACTTTCTTCTAACATAGGCCATTTCATTACTCCTTGATAAAAAGCATATTTATTCTTTGGCATATTAATTATTGTGATTTCATTTTTCTGCCATTCACATATGGAGCTTTCAACAATACCAAACATCCTACCTGCATAGATTTCCATTTTCTTTCGATGGTTGTTTTATTTGGCACGAGCCATATTTACTTCTAAAAGGAATACTAGATCAACTGTATTTAAAGTAATGTGGTTTACTAAAGCCACTTCAAAATCATATCTTCAAATGACCACAGAAAAAGAAAACATCTGATTCCTAATCCCGTGAATTCATTCAGGCCGGAAGTACATTTGTATCTCAAATTATGTCCCCTCCTTTCTCCAAACCCTAGAATAACATTATTGTGCATACTTGCATTGAACACAACCCACCCACCCTCCTTGCAGGCATTTTTCACTCATATATGTATTGTTCCTGTTATCACTTGTGATTTCAGTATACCATTGTTTCAAAGCCTGAGAGAAAACTCTTCAAATGAATTGACCATAAAAAATGACAGCATTGCACATGATATGTTTCAGGTTTCATTATAAAGAAAAGGGTGCACATTATACAGCGAATATACCTAAAAATTTTAAAACGTAATGTGAAATTATACAGGTGTGCATCATGGTAATATAAATAGCATCATTATTTAGAAAGAAAGGATTAAAAAAAAAATCAAATAAAAAAATTAAATTACAAAACTGAATCTACATAACTGTAAAACAGTATAACAACTGTTATTTATTACAGCACAATATATTTTTATAAGGTTGAATGGATAAATTCATTTCAAAAGAAAATCTGCTGTAATTCTACTGTTTTAATCTCAAACACATTATATAGTTCCTGTGAAATATCAGGAATGATAAATTCCTCTCAACCATATATAATTTAATATACTGCTTATGCCATCAAAGTAATACAGTCAAATACCGAAAATCCGCCAACTCCTGAAATCCGTGTTGCCTCTCAAAATATAAACATTTAGTTTACAGGTTCCGGAAACCGCAACATGGAGTACGAAATATCAAAGAAAAAATATTTACTGGATAATGACGTCATAATTGCCAAATAATAATGAGTCATAACGTAATAATGAGTCATAATACCAAATTACTGATATTGTGATAAAAGTTTTTTTTTCCCTTCCAATCTGCATTGTGGTAAAAAAGCAGATGATTAACTAAACTCTTCTTTCAAGTTCACGCTTCCCGCTGTTGTACTTTCTGAGCTTTGTTATTTCACGAGACTGTTTAGTGACGTCGTTTTTTTTTTTATCTGGATATTTTGTGGATAAATTAAGAATATTTTTAATTTCAGTGCTTTTTAATATAATGACAGATAAGAAACGCACTCGTGATTTTACTGCTTGCAATGTTGAAAAACAAACGCGTAGCACTGACGGTAATGAAAAAAGTGGAAATTCTGCTAAAGATGGAGGCTGGTGCTACTGCTCGGTTTTAGCAGAATCATACGGAATTGCCACATGGACTGTGTATGATATATGGAACAATAAAGAAGAGCAAATTTTTACAGCAACAGTGATTCTAACACCAGAATCCGAAAACCGGAAATCTTTACATGAGGAGAAATCGGCAAACCTCGATGCTGTCTTGTACGAGTGGCTTCCGGCAGCGGCGGAGTGATGGCAGTACCTATTTCAAGACTACTCCTGAGAGAAAAGGGGAAGCAGATTAATGCTGATTTAAAAATATAGGAGAATAATGTAAATGAACAATATAATATAATCACTTTATATATGTCTCATAATTATAATTTAATGCATATAATTATTGTATTAATGTATATAATAATTTAATTAAATGTATCTAACATGCCTTATTTATTTTGCACTTTTAGTATGAATATTATCTTTTCTGTCCTGAAATCCACACAACCTCTGGTCCCAAGCGTTGCGGATTTCTGGACTTCTGCTGTATTTGGAAATGGTACATTCTGAACAATGATGGCTTCCATGTTGGAGAAAATCTGGTGCAAGAATTATACTATATTACTAGTCAATTTAAATATCTTTATCATATGCATTATTTGGCTTCATTTGCATGCTTTAATAACCTTCTTTGGCAAAATGAATGTATATATATACTTTTTTGTATTGGCTTTAATGGGTTCCCCCCCCCTCCTCCAAGATCCAGTTGAAAATTGTAGTAGAATAAAAAAATCAGTTGAAAGAAAAAGTAGAAACAAATGGATGAAGAAAAGAAGTAAAACAAAATGTTGTATAAATTAGGACATATCTGAAATAATGAAGTATTCCTAAAAACTACTGTTTCAATATGCAAATTAAAAAATAATCAATTTACTTACAACATCTTAAAATGCAATGATTATTTTCTCATTAGGCTATCGTGTTTAAAACAAATAAATAAATAAATATCACATTAATAAATAAATAAGAATTCTACAAAATTTTTTACTGAATTTCTTCGAAATTTTCATTTTATTGTAAAAGTATTAAAACGTCTATTTTTTAATTAGTTAAACATCTAGTATTATGTTCTTTTATTATAATACCCTTTCACTACTACAAAATTTTTCATTTTTTCCAGTTTCTTCCAGAAGAAACTCAACCTTTTCATATTTATTTTCAGTCTATAGCTCTAAAACTCTGAGCTCACAATTAAAAATAACAGTCATAAATATCTCTGTTATGTAAATGTAGGGAGTTTTGGTTATGAATGGAAAAAAAAATAGTTGATTTAATCTTTGTTTCTAAACCTGTACTTTTTTTTTTAATTTGCTTTTAGCATTCACCCTCTTTCAGTTATTAGCCTGTTATCAAAGCTACCCTGCTCGTAAAGTTCTTATACCACAATATAGGAAATGCAATAGTAGTGACACGCAAGTGCTTAGAAAAATATATTCAGAAAGGCAAGTGTCTTAATTTGGAGTTATCTACACTAAAAATCGGCACACAGCAATAGCTTTTCCATATTATCTATATTCCCTCTCTTAAAAAGTTTAAATGAAGGTAAGGTGTCAAGCCAGAAGTTTATCATTTTATTTAATAATAATATAGTGTAGAAATTGTATTTAAGGTCATAAAACTGAATGAAATCAGATAGAGATTAATTTCTTTAAATGTTGTAGGATAAAATATTTTAATATATAATAAATTAAATAAAATATTTTAATAAATATTTTGATAAAATAAAATATTTTAATTTTTGATGATACTTACATTATATTGTTACTTTTGTGGTGTCGTTCAATATTCCAACAGAAGCGATAGTTTCCTATATCATATATTAACAATTGCTCTTTACTAATAAAAGTCCACTTTCGAATAAAGCCAACCATAAAATTATCTCTAATTAATGTTAGCACAAAATTATCAACCTCTGGAAAAGGCGAACTGCATCCTGAACTACCTAAAGGGGAAAAAATGAAACTCATACAGAAATTTTCTTTCAAAATTAAAATACACAAATAATGTACCTATAGACTTTTTAAGAATGTCAGCAAACACAATGTCAGCAATTATCTTTCTGATTATTAGCATAACAGAACATTTATGTTATAAATCTATGATTTTAACAGCAACACTAATTTAGAAAATCTTCTTTTTAATATAGCCATACATGTATGTAAGTGCTCAAAAAATATCTGGCAAAAATGTAAAGGCAGGTTAAGGATGCCATTTTAACAAGTAAGGTATATACTGAAGATTTCGCAAAAGACATTTTTTTTTAACATAATTACAAAATGAAAAGAAGTAGAGGAACATTAGTTTAACAAAAGAAAAGAGCGAGAGGAACGCGAATACGATGAAAGGGAAGAGACAGAAGAATGCAAGTATGAGCTTAAAAAATTGAAAATACAAACGGCTGGTTCAGATGCTAGTTATAATTCCATACTTGCTTTGCCATTCACAAAAATGGATATGACTAAGTTAGAACTAAAAACTTCAATTACTCACTTTAATCCAAAAACTAGTGACATGAGCCTTTTTCTCACTTTATTCGAAAGACAATTAAAGATTTTGAATGTACCCTAAGGAATCTCTTAGGCTTGTTACCTAATGACACAGCAAAACTAATTGCAAAAGAACCTGCTGGTGATGCCCAAGCTTATGAGGAAATGAAATAAATCCTCTTAAAGCGCTTCAAATTAAGTGCTGAAATGTTCCGAGTTATTTTAGCAACATCGTAAAAGTACTGATAGTACATGGCGAGATTTTTACTTCAATTTGAGAAATTTCTTTGATGGCTGATCAAAGAATTAAAAGTCAAAACTTTTAAGAAGTTAAATGATTTGATGATATCAGATCAAATTAAAAAATTATCCCTTCCAAATTATAGAGAGTATTTTGTGGATCACTAGACGGAGTACACTGACCAACTTGCTGATTTATATGAAGAAGAAAAGCTAAAAACACGAGGAGTACAAATGTCAGAAAGGAAGCATCAAAACTTTTTCAATGTGATGGTCCCAAAAATTATAAAAATAACCATCATATTGTTAAATATTCAGCAACGTGACAGAAGATTGACCAACTGTTAGTTGCTAAGATTGTGGAAAATCAGGCATCATTAGGGCTAAGTGCCCAACATGCTCTCCTTCTTTAAATAAAGAATCACCCAATTACAAAGCTATAAACTTACATATATTGTTGACTCTTTTAAGGGTAAAAATCAACGGATCTACTGGTATTTTCTGTGCTGACACTGGCACTAGTCACATTATAATGGGAAAAACATTATTTAATTTAAGCATTCACCCCAGGCCTCAATTACACTAAGTCGGGCCCCGAGTAAGGAATCTGGTTTTGCAGAGTATCAGCATCTTAATGGGACACATTATATTCCCACCATATTATAAAGCATTTTAGTATTCAAGTAAGCAAAATTAGAATATAAATTGATTGTCAAAAGAGAAATAATGTAAATGCTATGAAATTATTTTACACAAAAATTTTCTATTAGTGTAGCAAGAAAAATTAGATAAATAAAGTGTTACTCACCACAAGCATTATTATTCTTTTTTACAGATAACCCATTTTGTAACTGGATTATAGGTGAATATTTAGTTTTATAATTTATAAAATTCTTTGTAGATCTGCCGTCCCTAATAAAGAAATATTAATTCTCAGTTAAGTGAATTTTTATAAATTAAAAATTTGCAACAACAACAAAAATATCTAGCTGATACTTAATATCAGGAAAGTACAGCGCAAAGGAGAATTAATTTTTTTAATCTTTCAATAGTCATCAACAAGCTCAGCCTGCAGTCTACTTACGCACCGCAGTGAGTGCAAACAAACATAGCTGGCATGACAAATTTATATAACTGACAAACATTCCCCATATTTGGGAAGAGAGAATTGCTTAATCTTGCAACCATAAAACGGTTAACAACTTAGTATGTAGCACCCTCCCCATTAACTACCCTTTTAAAAGCTATACTGATTTTACATGTTCAACTTCATAATTAAAAACAACATAATACAATTTTTCTTAGATCTTATCTTTTAACCCTTTGTTGCTCAGTGTTCCACTACATGGCACACCCAAATTGAATCGCTTCTGAAACCTTTAAATTCAACCGTAAATAAATAAAAATGCCTTTATAATATACTTTGAACTTTTCTTTTTAAACAGTAGATAGCAGCATATCACAAGGAGACACAGAATTTTCATTTATTATGTGTTATTAAAATCCACTTTTTTTCAAGTAATTTTCTCTATTTTTTTAATGATATAAAAAATTTTATTTGGAAAAAAAATTAGGCATAATTTTGCTGGCTGTACTCCAAATTATTTTTTCTACATTTTTTTTAAATCTTTCATACAAAAACCATACGCAGAATCATTGAAAAAACTCGCGTGTTCCATTAGCGGGAACACTGCGCCTTTTGCGATTTCATGCTGTTACGAATCAGAACATCTGTGCTTAGGAGAGAATTTCCGTTGTTTAAGTTTTCTGTTTCTCTTTTTTTCGGGGTGGGGGGGGAATGAATTCAAACAAAGCAGTATTGAGGGTCGAGGTGTGTTTTGTGTTACGAATGCCCTAATATTGGCATCTCGAATTTTTTGGGAGTAGTTTTTAGGCGGGAATTTTATTAGTAGCTTGACTCATCTTTACTTAGACCTGCGCGAATTTTTTGCCGTCGCTTTTTAGTCTCATTCAATAATTCTGTAGATATTTTTCGTGTATGTATATATTATAGGCTTATTTTTCTTTATTGTTAATATTAATCGTAGTTAATTATTTTAACCGTAGTTGGTTTGTGCTTCCATCAAAAAGGTGTGACTTGCTTTGAACAATTTCACGAAGCTAAGAAATAGGAAAATTTGTAAATATTTTTGTATATAGAACTTGTGTATAGATATTTATCTCATTTATCCATATATATTCAAGAATATTGTGTATATCCAGGAAACCATGTATACAGCCATAATACAGAATTTGTTCATTCTTATACAAATACTTCTACAAATTTTCGTGCTTCACTGCAATGCTCGCTTAGTCGCACTTTTAAAAGCTCTGGCGGCGCAGTGTTCCACCTCATGGACCCCACCGAGCAATTTTTACAAAATTTTACCTGTATACTCCTTTAGAACTAAGTAGAGCGCATACAACTTTTTTTTTTTTTTTTTTTGAAATTCCGACCTTAATGTATAGCCGCAAAGGGTTAAACCCGAAAATTGTCTTATCTCAAACTACAGTAGTTCAATACTTTATTATGCAAGCCTTCAATATATCAAGTTCATATACACTGAAGAGCCAAAATATTATGATCACTTACTCAATAACACATTACGTGAACTTTGGCCTATGCTATCAGTTCTTAGTAGATGGCTAGAGACTTGTTGTACCAAATGTCTAAGCAGAGGTAACGCAAAGTTGAGATATTCCAACACGGTGATGTTTGAGCTCTGAGCTTCTAGTTCATAACATCCCAAATATGTTGTATCGGGTTAAGATATGACAAGTTACATGGCCAGGACATCGATTGGAATTCATCCTTATGCTTCTTGAACCACTCTGACAGAATTCAAGCCTTGTGACACGGGGCGTTGTCCTGCTGGAAGATTCTATTTCCAGTTGGGAGGACAAATGCCATGTAAGAGTGCAACTGATCCGCAATTATGTTCATATAGTTTGCAGTTTTCATTGTCTGTTTTATTACAACTAAGGGTCCCAAAGCCGCCCATGAGAATGTCCTCCAAAGCATAATACTGCCACCACCAGTCTGTGTATGATCTGCTGTACGGGGAAAGAGGGGGGGACAATTGTTTGCCTGATGGATGGCATACACTGACATGACCATCAACATGATGAATGAAAAATCGTGATTCATCCAACCAGGTAACTGTCTTCCAATTATCCATGATCCAGTATCGATGTTCCTGAGCTCATTGTAGGCATAGTTGACAATGACGTTTGGTTAAAAAAACATGCACACACTTTTATTATTTGTAGTTTTTAACAGAAAAATAATACTTTATTCAGTTTTCATACAAATACTATGAACAATGACAGATTTTACTTTCAGAAACTTCATAATTTTGTTCATAGCAATTGACATGCAGACCTGCTTTTGCTAATAAGTTTTCTAATCTGTCATTATTAATATTAGATCTAAATTTAGTCCTTATTTTAGTAACAAGACTGAAAATTCCCCCTCGCTCTGCCTTACTATGAATTGTTGGGATGGCCAACATTATTCTAGACACTTTACTATATTTTAAAATTCCATCAGCACCTATCAGTTCTCCAATTAAACTCCACTGGATGTCAATCCTAGCTAATATTATAACTTTATTTAAGTTGCCTAATTGCAAACTCCAAAACTGTGACTAAGCAGCATCAATATCATCGTCTTGCATAACTAAATGAAGTAAAACTGGAAATCTATTAAAAAATATCTAATATCAGCAAAAGATATATTTGCTAAAGCAGAAACATCTGCAACTTTAGTACATAAAATCACTGCATTGCTGACTGGAAATTTATGTAGTATATAATCCCATACTCAGCAGAAGTAGCTTCTTATGTGGAAATAAAACTTATTTGTGTCTTCCCTTGAAAGTTCTTCCACTATTCAGGGGTGTTTGTGGGACCCCAAAAAATCCCCTGAAACTTTTACGGACTTACTACCGACATTTTGGAGTTTCGAGAAGGGGGGGGAGAGAAATGAAAAATTACAATTATGAAGTATTGAATGACCTAATTATAAAAGTTCAATGAATTACTTTTTTTTGCAAAATTAATAACCATAAATTTTCAAACATATAAACTACTACATTTTATGTAAATATTTTAAATTACCTGAATTAATTCTTTAAAAAAATTATCTAATTTCTGCTGCTTTTTTTTTATTTTTTCTGATGTTTGTGGGCTTGTCTTTCTTTTGTGGTGAACTTATAATTGCAGGAAGGTTGACTTTATTTTTCCTCATTTACAGTTGAAGAAATTTCCTCGAGAACTGCACATGCAGTTTGCTTTTCTGCTAATGTAGAAGGTTTTTCAGAGACTTTTATAGGTGACTCATCTGAAATACATGTTTTTAAGTCCTCTTGATATGTTTTCCAACTTCTGTTCATATTCAGTAAGAGATCTTTGTGAATTGGATCAGTCATTGGATTTTTTTCCATATTTTTCACATGAGGTTTCTTTAGAAGCCATTAAATCATATTTAATAGTCTGCACACTGCATCTAGGGAATCAAGAGAGGTTCTATAGTCAGTGACAAGTGTATCCATTAAGTTGAATGCACTTTCCACTAATGGGCCATGGAAGCAGCTAAGGCAGGCTTTGACCAATTTAGCCAATGTAGGATACTTATAATCATTTGTGAAATCATCTTTTAAATTAAAAACTTTAGACCAATATTTATCAATTGTACACTTGACTTGATTTCCACTTTCATCAGATGTGTAGAGCATTTCTTTGGTGATATCAATATCACTCTGGTATAACCTTATTTCAGCTTCTACTTTTGACTTTTCATTATCACTAAAAATATGGGACATAAAAGATGATAATTTTTCAAAAGCTAATATTGTACTGGTTTTACCTCTTAGCTCTGGATCTAATGCTGTAAAACTAATTAGATATGAATTTTTAAGGGGTAATTTCTGTTTCATATGCTGTGCTGTATTAGTATAAGCTTTCATCAGAGAAATTTGGAATTCTTTTGCTATTGGATGATTTTTTTGATAATTTCTTCAGGAGAGTGGAAGCTTCTGCACCAGTAAATATTACTTTGCTAGGTAGATGGAATTCTGGATTTGTGACATCAACCTTTAATAAATCATTATAAGATGTGCACTCTAATATTTTCTGGCTTCATAAAAAAGAGAAAAATTTGCCATCAATTTATAAATACTGGAATGTATTAAATGAAGCATTGTTTTTTTTTTTTTTTTCAAATAATTTAATATATGTGTTGAACTCTGGTAATACTGCTGAATATAATGCCATATGCAATAAAGTTTTGTTTTGCATAACAAATAACCCATTTAGTATTCTTTTTTTCTGAGCTAAAGCATCCTTTGTGAGTTGTTGGGAATGCAAGCAAGAATACACACCCCTTCAACAATTTTTTTTCGAGCTGCAGAAATATTTCTTTTATTGGATACAGTTTCAACATAAGAAAAATAATCCCCTTTTTCAGTTTTATCCAAGTAGTGAAAATAAAATGCAATACGAGCATCCCACAGATCTTTGATTCTTTCTAAAACACATAAAATGTACACCCACCTATGGTCTGGTCTCTTCAAGGGCTTAAGTTTTTTAATGGCAAGGGATTCACAGATTTTGAAAAAATTTTCTCTTTTACTGCAGCTTTTCATATCAAAATAGATGTCATCAAACAAATCTTCTAAGTATCTATCAAAACATGAAGCAAATTTTTTTGCACAGTTATTAGCTGTGTGACATGTGTCACCATCAATATCTAATAAGTGGGTGGCTTTGTTTGATCGTAGTCTGGTTTCAACACCCTTTTTTTTTTCCACGCATGGTGTTACATGAGTCCATTAATACACTAATTAAGTTTGCCCATGGAATATTATTATCTTCAATAGTATTAACAACTGCTTTAAAAACAGCTTCTGAATTGCAAGATTCCATCTTTAGAGATGCAAAATGATGAACTACAACTTCATTTTGATTGTTGTCATAAAACTGCACCAATATTGCCAGTATACTTTCTTGAGCATTGCTAGTACTTTCATCCAAATTTAGAGAAAATGGAGTCTCCTTTAAAGTTTTAATGATATTTTCCTTAATAGTTTTTGCGAGCCCATATTTCATCTTATAACATGCAGTAGTCCTGGACATTTCCAACGAGTTTAGTGCCGTCTGATCGCGGCTCAACTGTTTGCAGAGTTCAATTAAATTGGGAGCTACATTGAAAGAAAGAGAATTCTCGGCGATAAACGAAGTTATTAATACCTCTTGGCGTGCTTTTCTATATCCATATATGGCCGAGCATCAGTCTCCAGTAAGTCATCAGTATTTTTTAATTAGCATAATTACTTAAAGTCATTGAATGTCTAATGCACTTTGAATATTTTATGTGCTTCACAGTTTTAGAATGATTTGTGAAAGCCTGAATCCTTCCCCACCATACTTCAGCAGTGAGTTACAAAAACACAATATGCTTGTCCAGCAACATTTATTTTATTTGCTTGCACCATGTGCCGATGGTATCCCCATTACCATCTCTCTTCAATCCAATTCCACCTATTCCGGACACCTTCTTCTAATTGTATAATATCACTATTTATATCGAGAAATTTCATAGTGAAATTCTCTTGCGTACATAAATAAAAAATATTTCAATAAACGAAACGAAAAATTTACACGTCAATACATGAAACGAAAAAAAAAGTTGAGAAGCGATCAATGGCGAAAAAAACCCCCGAAATCCCCCTTCTCTACTTAGGAGAGATAAGACCTTTGAACCCAGAGTCACGTGATCGCACATTTGGTCGAACGAAGTCTCTCCCTTTTTTTTCTGCCGCGCCTACTTGCCGAAAAGAATCCAGAAGAGAATGTCCGAGAACCGGGGGAATGAGTCATAACTCGCAATAAGGAAAGAACAAAAAAGAAGTTTTTCCCCCTTTTCACGCATTATCACTGCCTTTGAAGAAAGAAAGGAAAAGTTTTCACCACACACACCTTGCATTTGCTTTCAAAGCAAACAAAATTACCCAGATCAAAATAAATAATTCATTATTATTCCTACTTTTTTTTTGAACGACGATCCCCGGAATTTCCGGGGATCGAAGTTCAAAATCCCCGGAGCACAAACATATGCTGCAGCTCCTGTTGCCCAATCTTCCATTTTTCTTCTGATTTTCTATTTTACCATAAATCACATGATATATATAGAATTGAAACACAAAACAAAGGTTGGTTTTACAACTTTGATAAAATGTCTTTAAACAGATCACTGAACAGTAATTGTAAAACTTGAATTAATGAATTCTACTCTGTAGAACTGTGATAAGAGCATCGAATGATGGTAAAATGGAGTGTACAAAAAGCAAAAAGCTTTGATAAGTCTGAAGACTAAAACTTAAATATTCGTTCTTCACAAGATAAACTTACAGTAATTGAAAAATGTTTCCCTTGTAAAGAAATTTTGTATTTTGTAGTAATATTTTGAGAATTCCCAGTTATATTGTTGAAAAATGTTTCCCTTGTAAAGAAATTTTGTATTTTGTAGTAATATTTTGAGAATTCCCAGTTAGATTGTTTCTTTATTTAAGCACCTCTGTAAATTCTAAAAATTTTGCTTCCCTCTCCTAAATTTCTGCTATCAGTGCGGTCACACCAGCTCTGGGCTTACATGAATAACAAATCATTATTCTCAATTCAACAATATTAAATGTAATCTTTTGGCCTATGAGTATCATTTACAGAACATTTTTTCTGCATATGGAAAGATTTTTTTAACTCAACACACTCGATAATGCAGCAGAATTAGCTGAAGTCTGTATCATCGCCACGAGTAATGTCAACTTAAAATGTTTCAATGTCCTTTGGTATTTAACTACTTTTTCTTTTCTTTTCTTTTTTTGGACATCACCGTGTTAATCACTTCTCAAGCTGCCGAGTGTTGATATTTATATGGTGATAAAAACAAAAACTGATAAAATAATAATTTACCATGCTGCAATCAGATATAAATTATTCATTTGGAATAAAATCATTGATGTTTCCATGTAGAATGTTTCATTCTGAGACATTTGTCAAGTGAAAAGGCAGCTATGAAGTCAAATTTGATCATACATGCTAATAAATTATTGTTTCTTCAGGATGCAGGTATTTTATTTAGTGCTGAAGTGAAATTAAGTACTGGGACTTGCCACATTTTATTACGAAAAAATATCAAATGTGCAAACATAAAGCATATTAAAAATATTGCCTGTAATACGGAGGTCTAGATTATAGATCATGTCACATTAGGGCATTCAGATTTTGGCCTTTGTATTAACTAGTTTTAACAAGGATAAACATAAAGAAAAAATTACCTGTAATATGTAACGAGAGAGTCATAAAAAATTATTTCATCTATATCTTTCAACTTTACTTTAACAGATGGTCGATACTGATTGTGAGCAGAAAGAACTAAAGGAGCTCTTTTTCCATACTTAGTAGACAAATACATACGGAAATTTCTGTTTTTGCTGTACACACCTAATTAACAAATTATACATAAAGCTTAAAAATAACATATAACATTATTCAGAAACATGAAAAAAAAAAAAAAAAAAAGAGAAAGCTCACTATTTAAAAAAAAAAGGGGGGGGAAGGAGGCCGTAAAGATTTCCCCCCCTCTTTTCTATTCAGATATCTGCATCTGCTAACTTTACATTTAAACATTTAAAAATAAGTGTTAGTTTTCCGAATTGTTTCATTATATTAGGAAATTAAAAACATTTTGCAATTTTCTACTAAATAAATTTATGTTAAAAACAGAAGAATTGCAAGGTGAGATTATCCCATCAGCACTGGTAGATTTACTGATCACTTAAATATATAGCTAAAATGTTTCATAAGAAATTAAGGTACTTCTTTTTTAAAGCGCCCATTTGGCGATTTTAGATTTGCACCAAGATCTCAGCTATAATTTCGTCAAGCTCATGAAATGCAAATGTAAAAATAAAGAACACAGTATATAATAATAACAATAATACTCACTGACATTTCTTAAAAATAATTTTAAGAATTATTATCCTTATTGTTATTATTGCATCACATGTAATTGTTCCCATCAGCTGCAGCGCTTTCACGTATATTAAGTTGTTTGTTACACCATTTCACGGACATGAACTCCTCTGCTCAGGAATACATAAATCTAATAGCAGTGACAAATGAGATTCTGGAGCTGCTGAACCAATTTACGACATGAGGCCCTTCTTACTTAACAGTGTTTACACATTTCAAATTATGTACAATTAAATTATATACTGTTTTGAATAAAAACAGTTCATTAATATTATGACACCATCTACTAGCACTGCATTCCCCATGCATTTTCTTCTTCTTTTAGCATTTTGCATAGAAATTTGGTTTTACAATAATTAAACTTAACATTTTTATGTCAAGTTCCTAGAATAAATGGTACTATTCCCTATTTGAGGACCGTAAAAAATTGCAGCAAAAATGTTTACGCAAAAGCGCCAAATCTAGCAAACGTGCCCATTTAACAGCATGCCAAGTCTAGCGTACATGCTGATTTCAAATTGCATACGTTTATATAGTTCTATATTTCTTAAGACACCATTGAAATACTGGTTTAATTTTTAAATCCTTGTTTGATTTTAAATCCTTTTTTGATATCCTATGGATTTAACAACTTGGGAATTGTTTTAAGAATGCATTTTTAAGAATTGCACATACTCAGTAGTATCCATGCACACATCGACCTGTTTTCACTTAAAAAAAAATCCCAGAATTGCAAACAAATGGCACTGTGCACATCCTTGACTTTATTTATGTACACGTCGACCTATTTTCACTTAAAAAGTAAAAGAAAATTGACAAAAATACAATTGTTTTGACCCTTGTAAAAAGCGCCAAACAAATAACTGGCGATTCTGCACTTTACCAAGAAGTTTTCAAAAGAAAAGGCATCATTCACTATAGAAAATTATGTTTGAACAACCAATGAGATGAACATTAATTACTAATTTTCCAAAATACCTACAACCATTAATATACAGAAGACAAGAAAGAAGTAAAATCAACACTCACAGGTAAGTCCATACATCAAACTTCCAATTCTGGGGATTGCCTGTAGATTAAGAAGTTTTAATAGTCCAACAGATCATCCTGCTTATTTCGGTTGACCACTGAGGAATCTCCACCAAAACCAAAAATGAGCTAAGCTGATCAAGGATATAAAATGGTTTGATTTCAACATTGAGTTCACACCAGTTTCAGGTGCATGTATCGTGAAAAGCCTGTGCAAAATCATCTTGCACTAAATCACACTTTTGTCAGGAACACAAGGTGCCAGACACTGATCAAAAATATTAAATGGCTCGCATTCAAATCTGAGTTCACTCCAGTATAGTGCTCTAAAATTAATCATCTCACAATAAATTTCACTTTGCATCTCAAAATAAATTACTAAATCATCTCACAATAAATTACACTTTCATCAGGAACACAAGATAAGGCTCTAGTTATTTACACTAGCACATTTTTCTTCTCTTGAAGTTGCCCAGATTTTACGCAAATTTTTGGGGGCCTCTAACCAGTTATGGCCCATCACACGAGAATACCAGTTCCGCTCCTTAGGTACGTGTTCCAAGCAACCACCAGTCGGGGAGGATGCGGCCCCAGCCCACTTATAAATGAGCTGGCCCTAGATTCTTCCTTTTCTTACTTGATGACTTCAGACCAAACTTCAAACTGATTTTAAACCTGTACAAGTATGAAAGAAGACTCAATGTCTTCACCTACAAAAGTCCTACAGGATGAAAATTAAACATAAAATTAAGTTTGACCAACAAGAATTTTCACTTTTTTTTTTCTTTCTTTACTTTCAGTCCCCCCCCCCCAACAAATACAAATAGAGCTGCTACAAAAACATTAGCTGGACACCTGACACTGAGTCAATGAAACACATTAGAAACAAAAATTCGATCTTGCTAACTTCTGAGAACACAGAGATAAGGTCACTGCTGCCCTTTTAATTGCCACCCAAAAGATTTCACTCGACACCCCATCGTTTGAAAACTCATTTTTCCATCACTTGCAATATTCACAAAGCAAAAGTGAAGCAAAGACACAAATATTTCTTCATTTTCACACTCAGAAAACAAAACCTCCTGCAGCCACCAGGTACCTTAAGAGCTCTTTCACATTTCAAATGCTTTTCCCAGTCCACCAAAAGCATCAGTTTGGGGAACACTGACCAAGTAAATCGAAGCCTCATTTTTGCTCAGATGTTCTCAAAAATCCACTCCCTGTTTCGTGAGGGGAGTCTAAACATCAAAAATAAATACCAAAAGCTTTTAACTGCCAAAAATAAGTCACTAGTCACAAACAATTTCAATAAAATAAAACCTTAATAGTGATTACTTAAAAACCATTAACATCATTAAAGTTTGCAATTTTAAATGGCAGTTGTTGTAACTGCCATATGAAATATTTACACTAAAATTATTTTTTACCTCGTGTTAAATGAGATTGTTACTTAAGAGACAACTAAGGTTTTAACTTCCTGCTTTATAAACAAAGATTACTAACATGCTCCAAGATTTAATTCATCAGACTGTGATAAACATTTAAATTCCATTAACACTTTTCACAAAATAATAAAATACCTTCATCACAGAAGATTTTCTGCTTTCCTTCATTCACTTCTACAATCATACTGCAAAGATCCTCAGCAGATGGCCACATATTATCAGCAATGGCATTGTCATCAACTTTTTTATAGATTTTAGATAGCAGTAACTTAACAAAAAGACCTAATAATAATATAACACATACTTTGAATGTGTTAAAGTACTCTTTTAAATTTTTTCCATAATAATACATTTTTTGCACACAGAGTTCATTTCATGAAATTTACGATATTTTCACACTACTTCATTTCACGAATAAATAACACTTCAAGTACAAAGAAAATTAAATTGTTTGCATATACTTATTTATAAAAATGTCTAACATACTGTATTATTATTAATTATTTATGACAGAAACAGCACCATATAAAATTATCTTTCACACAAATTTATTAATTTTTGCAACAATATTCAAGAGATTTTCAAGTTGTTTGAATACATCCAATTTGTTCCTGAGTATTATTTTCTACATAAATATTCATGATATCAATTTAAATATAAAATATTTCTAAAATTTTATCATTGGTTACTTCAAGAACATTCTTATTTTGCTGTTTCTAATCAGAAATCAATATGCTCGCAAATAGTTTAAACCACTTTGGGATAATGCATTTAACCTACATTTTAAACATCAAATTTTAAACTAACAATTTATAGCATTCATTGGTTAATTTTGCTTTTTCTTATTTTTTAGTTATTTAGTTATTTTGGGGAACATAAAAACTAACATCAAATTTAAAATTAATATGCTAAAAGTAAGCAAGATATTACTCTTAAACATATAAGCTTAATGAAACAGTCTCTTTAAAATAGTTTTAAACAATAAAGGAATCTATTTTGTAATATATCCACCAATGGTACTTTTCCGTTTTGCCGGCGCAAATCTCGCCAAGCAGATTTTATTGGCGACTACATACAGTATACACATAACAAATGTTAGTTCTAAGAATATTTTATTTTGAAGGCACAAACATTTTAATATCATTTAAAATTTTGTAAAAAGCCAATAAATAAAGACAATAAATTTGTAAAAAGACTTTTTTACAAAATAATTTAAGAATTTAATATGCTTTCATGGTTCAAAATCCTGATTCGCTGGTTGATATCATGTAAACCCTAGTGATCTCATCTCACGTAAACTATGCTACAAAAATCTAATTCTCTCAGTAATTATCTACATTAATTTCAAGTTAAATCTTAATTTGGAACACAAGATTAAATGCAAGAATTATTTCAATTCATATGAATAGCTTACTCAGAAATTATGTAAATCCGCAGTGCTTTACTTTGCTAGTGCATTCTCATTAGAATTGATGAGTTAAACCCTTGACTTTCTCTTTTCCATATATTTGCCATATATTTTGAGTTATTGTGAGTATTTACAAACGTAAGCACATCATTCTTGTTGCATATTCATGATGGGTCCCTAAGACACATCAATTTGAAATATGGTCTGTTAAATAATTTTATTGTCATTAATATATAACAGAGGTTATATTTTTGATGCAGTTTGTGATCATGATGTGTAACAGAGATGACTGAACTTTAATTTTTCAGGTAGAAAACCGTCATTTTTTAATCTAAATTTGCTTCTATTGATTTTAACAGTTGATTCATAGATACAAAAAGCAGTAACAGACTTTAAAATAAAATTTTAAAAATTTCATTTGAGTGAAAAATAACAAAAGTAATTTTAAAAACAGATTAGCTAGACCACATGACTCTTTTGGAAAGAGAAGCGATGATAATGCTCAATACAGAGAAATTGCAATCTGAGATACCAAATTTGTTTTATAATATACTAGCAACTTATCAGATTTTTGCATTTGTTTTAATTTTTCACTTACAGCTAATGTGATGACCAATCAGCCCATAGGCCACTAGTGACACCATAAATTTTTATTTGTGGCCACAAATGGATGCCATTTACAGTTCTAGCAAACAAAGATTATCTCTCTAGAAAACTACATACAGTCAAAAGTCATTAATTCAGACACACATAATCCGGACCTCAAAGCTAAAAACTTTCTGCGCATGCGCCGCGTTGACACATATGCATAGGCGTTTACGCGTGCGCGTAAGACCTTTTACGACTGCGCACATGAGTGTGCGCAAGCAAAGAATACGTTTTCGCATGTGCGTTTTATGTATAACGGACGGTATAAATTAAAATTATGTAATTATCGATTTCAGTTAATATTGATGATTGAATTGTTCCTTAATTTTCAAATTGGATCCGACTTATTATTTTTTGAAGACTGTAAGAGCAATACTATAAAAGTAAACTTGAGCTTTCGATTATGTCAAACAGATTTTCCGATTCTGGAGCTCCCAAAGGATCGTACAAAACGAAAGTATGTTTCGATGTTCATCAAACAAAAAGTGGAATTGCTGCAAAAAATGGATAAAGACATGAAGAATGTGACAGAGAGGTTAGTGAAAACGAAAAAATTTCGATTGACAAGTTAGTCGGTATTCTCGATACAGCAATTACGGGACTTGAACAGCGGAACTTTGTAACTGAACAAGAAATTATGTCTGTTTATAGAATTAAAGAGAAAGTATTATCACATAAAACGAAGCAACTTAAACAATTTACATTGAAAGAAATGTTTAATAAAGTAAACAAATAAATATTAAGCTTTTGTTTTGTAAATTTTGATACCCTTTAGATCATAATTGTTCTTTATTTCATAAATTATGGTTTCATATTTTTAATTTTAGAATTTCTGCATGCCATCTTACGAGATTTAACCTGATGATCTATAATCCCGAAAAATCGATAATCCGGAATCGGCGAAGTCCCGACGAGTCCGGATTAATGACTTTTGACTGTAATAATTACCATTTTGAATTTAACAAATATTCTATTTGTATAAAGCAAATATAAAATTAAAATTTAATTAAGAAATTGTAAAGAAATAAAAATAAAAATAATAATTATTATTATTGCTGCGAACTAACTTACAATATCATTTAAATTCTAAGAGCATATGTAAATTAATTGTACGTATCTAAAGCCATGAAAAAATATATTATTCCAAAAAATTAAATTTATTATTCCATAAAATCGCATAAGTGAATAATTATTGAGCAGACAGGAGACAGACTTACCAAGGGGAATTTGCACCTAAACCTAACTCTTCAATTACTCAATTCGGGTTTCATCATCATATAGGCAAGGGTAAAAGTAAAATTTAAAACCAAAAGTAAAACCAAATGTTGTGAATTACTAAAAAAGAAATTAAACAGTGGATTTTTGATCAAATAGCAAGTAAATGACTGGAGTTAAAATTAATTAAAAGTCAATAAGTCAATTAAGAGTAGAAAACCAAACTAATTTAGAATCTCAAACTACATTGCCTCTTTTCAGCAAAGTGGCAGTTGTGAACATGTATTAGGTGGTAATTTCTTTGTACTTGGGCTGATTTCAGAATGTTTATTGCTGCCAAATGTGATCGATGTAAGTGCCTATTGGAAACTTCCCCAACACGAATTATGCATGTAAACCTAAAATAAACTATATACAACTATCAAAATATAAAAATAAAAATAAAAAAAATAACAATAAAAAGGCTAGTAAATAGCAAGATTTAATTTAACTTACCTAGATCTACATATTTGAGTTATTGAGTTGTACAAGCATTTGCTAACTAGTTCAGTTGAGTAGTTTGTTACTGCTAACTGTAAAAACAGATGGCTCTAATACTATGTAATGTTGAGTGGAAAGCTGCTACCTGTGAGAGCTATTGTAAAAACCTATGCTGTAAATTTTAAAAATGTAAAATGTAATATGCTTGCTTTGTGTGCAAAAATGTTGCTAACTTTGAGTCATGTGAAAATGTAAGAAGTAAAAAATATGAACTGCTACTGTTTGTGAAAATAGATGTTGCAAACTATTAAGCCCATATCACACGGCGTTTGTTTCACATGAACAACTGTTTCGGACAATTTTTATGCCTGTTTTACTATTGAAAGAAAGACGTGCGACTTTTTCCTTCCTTTCGAAAAAAGTTGCAAGTGTTCGTTTTCAACCAATCAGCTATCAGCGCCGAACGCTGTTATCTTGTTTGCAATGGAGAACCAGTTTTCCCTGTGTTAATCCCAAAGCGATCTGTGGTGATTGGCTGTTGTGACAAAGCAGAAAAATTGTTCCAAACAGTTGTTCTTTCGAAACAAACCGACGTGTGATAGCAGCCTTAAAGGTGTAAAATTTTTTGAAAAAAATCGTTTTGAATAAAAACTTGAATATTTTAATTGAATTACAAAATTACAAATTGAAATATTGTAAGAAATTTTTTGTACTATACTGCATATTTAAAACTGAAGTTACAAGTTCAATCAAAACTTTAATTAAATACTGGCCAAAGGTAAGGAAATTGGGAAAAATAGATAAAAATCTTCACTTAATTCAGATTATAATTGAGAATTTTGAAAAAGAGTTGGCCCTTCATTAGTAAAAGGAAAGAATCCAGTATTGAAAAAATATACATTTTTACAAAAGTATATTTACAAGTAATCCCTTAACTCTTCAAAATCCTCCATTACCCTCCAGTTAAGGTTTAAGGTAATACTATTATCATACCATAAAGAGTTAAAAAATTAAAAAGAAAAGTTAATGCCTGCCTTTTTAATATACAATTTAATAAAATGTTTTGGGACCTGGTTATTAACTTGAACATTAATTAGTTTTATTATTTCTTTCTTTAAATCTTTTATTTCAGCACATATATTTTTAATTCTAATTATTTGGCTATGAAAAGTGTTACCTATTACTTTTTTAGAGATATTAGAGTTCCAATTAATTAGTTTACTTTCAAACTGGAATGTCCTCCTTTCGGCATATGATTTAATTTTGTTGTGTTGTTTAATTATGAGCAGGTCTAGGTATTCAATATTATCTTGATTCGTATTAGTTACAGGGTTCATAGCCACATTTTAGTTAAAAAAATAAGCACCTATAACCACTTTACAAGCACATTTTAAGAAAAAAAATAAGCACCTGTCTAATTACATCATACACAACTGCATAACCTTAAAAATTAGAATTGTAATTTAAAATATCAGAAATGAAGTACTTATTAAGAAAGAATAAGCATTACCTCAACCATGGAAAATAATTA